CTAGCATTGTTTAAGTATATAGCCTATACATCCTTAATGAGCACGCACGAGGCATTGTTCTCGGATCGCAAATTACACAGCATTATCCTCTGGAAACGATGCACTTATTCTCGACGCTCGTTCCAGATAAAGCGGCTTTATCCTTAAAAATGAAAAAAGTTTAGAGCCTCTCGATAACGCGGAATCGTTTTTAACAGTGTGTTCAACTTTATAAAATTAGTTTCATTCGCATGAAACGAAAGTTTCCGACTGCACAGCGTAGAAACTTGTATCTATGAAACTGTATTATTAACTCGATGTCGCGCACAGTCGAACAAAAAACCTGTTGAGAAAAAAATCTGAAATCACTTATTGTTATCAAGTCCGTGAATCACGGTGGCCGACATTTCTTTCATTTTTATCGCTGCTTCATCATGACTAACGAGTGACAATACGAGATCGTGAAAATTAATTACTCAATTAGTGCGTAGCTGTACTTTCAGTGCGTACGAGACAAGCTGCAAATGCGATTGAGTTAGAAACAGCGTTTGGCGCTCAGCCCGGAATAACCCGCCCAATTAATTTGTCACGGATTCACCGTTACGAGTAAGCCTGTGTCCATATCACACAGCGAGAAAATCGTTGCCGGTAGTATCAGATTATATCGGCTCCGATACGACGACAGCTACTTGAGTTGGCACATTTCTAATTAATGATAAAAGCGCGCAAATACAGGGGATTATAATGATAAGTTAAACCCGTAAAGTACGCGAAGCGTGCAACAGAGCATCGACTATGTCACGAAAGAATTTCCTGTAGCAAACTAATGACAGAGGTGGGTCCGATGCACAAAGTGTGCTCAATTATTATTCCCCTCGCGATAAAATTACCCGCGTATTAAGATATCATGAACCCGGCGTATTCTTTAATTATGGAAAGATCTTATTAGAAAAACGACCGCGAGTCGGTTGATTTACGGGTAAACGCGGCCCGTTTATCCGCGAATTTGCATATTGCGTGTGCTCGCCCGTTGCCTAAGCTAAGGCGCAAAATGCTCACCTCCGACGCGTCTCTCGCGAGAGGAGAATTACAGACGAGTAAATTATTTGTTTTCTTTTAATCCGACTAATTGCCGACGATCAAACGAGTCTGCACGGCGAATCGATACACAGGGAAGATAACCACTTTAGAGGTTTATTCCCTTTTCCGAATTTATACCCAGCTCCGACAAACGCGAGATTACTCGCGAGTTATACGACGTTTCTCAGATTCGTTCTTTCCCTTCCGATAGCTTCGCGCACCAGTTTCGCGAAAGTTGCACGTTGAAACTTCGCGAGTTCGTTGCCCTTCGGTCGTTATTTATGTAAGTTCCGTTTGCCCGATCGACGGCGTGGCAAGGAATTCGTGTTCGAATATGAGAAAGAGAAGTAATATCCGAATAAATGTTCGAGCCGAAGTTAATAGGATATCTGATAGCGAGAGGTGGTCTATTGTCTGGCTGGGATCGCCTCTTCAAAGAGCAGGCCGATTGCGAGAGGGT